CCAATATGAAAGCTGTGGCCATTAAAACGACCAACATCCATCCGTGATCCAGCTAACGTACTACGAATAGCAGCAATGAGACACCTACAGGGCAGAGAAGACCCATCCCAAAACACAAACAGGGGACCAGGCTGAGGGCCTGTTACAACCACGTATGCCAGTAGGGACTTCACTTGACAGATCGGACCCAGTATTCACCCCAAGTAGACGCGGACCCCTACCCCAAATATATAAGTCTTACTGCGGCAAAAAAGCAATGACATAGAAGAAGGGAATGAGTGAGAATCGACTGCAGCATCTGCAAATGAAAACATATACTCAGAGAAGGCAGCCCTATAAGGGCTAGTGAACTCTTCAGCATGGAAAAAGGCGAAAAAGCCCACACAACAAGCTGCCCACAACAGCACCCAATCATACAGCATTGGCTGACACGACCACAAATGCCACAAGAGACCCAAAATATGAGGAGTGACAGGTAGACTTTGAGCTCTAATACGACCTTAGGAGGCATTACGGATGCCCCACAGCACATACTCGAACTGAGGAAAAGTAGACAACGCAAGATCTAGAAAACCATTGGAAATCGGGGCAAAGCAAACCCCACTCAGATACACCCAAACCGGCCGATATGACAATCCCCCACCTCCGAGATATGTTACAAATTGAGAAAGAAAAGACTCAGAGAAAGAAAAGGAGAAAGAAAACCAAACGGTGACACAAAGAGAGGTAGCTATTAAGGGCTGTATGATAAGACTGCAAGGTACCTGGGGAAAGAGTGGTCATAAATTAGCCCTGACTGCCTGATTTAGGGAAGACAGTCCCAATCTTATCATTGCCACAGTAGCAGGTTGCAGACCTCCTCAGACACCATAGCTTGGGATCCTAGTAACACAAGGGAAAGAAATAGTGACATAATATCCCTAGAGTGAGCATCAGCTGCTACATTAAATACACCAGGCAAGTGAAGTGCACAGTACGAGAACTGAAATAAAGCAGCATAAAAATACAAGCAATGGAGGAGATGCGAAAGGGTAGGATCCTTGGCAGATCGCCTCCGAATGACAGGGACAACAGCAGCATTATCACAATGGCAGTGAACCATTGAGCGGTGCCAGGTACGACCACACACTGCAGCTGCTATATAGTACAATGGAGTCCATCTCTTTTACTGCAATGCTGACATTAGCCCATAAATCTGCCCACCGGACCTGCAACCATGTAGCATCTCCTGTAACCGCCCCACATGCAAAATTCCGAGATGCATTAGAATGGACATGAACTACTGGGGCAATTTGAGAAATCACAAAAGCTGCTCCATGCCAGACTTGTAGGAAACAGTGCCACCATGCCATGTCGGCCTTTGCCACAGCATCTAAGTGAATAAAGAAGTAGCCCCAACTCACATTCACTAAAAGGGAGACAGGTGCCAAAGAAAAATCATGCCTGGCCATACCACCACAGCTGCATGAGAAAGTTGCCTGAGCAAGGACTCCAAATCAGAGTGGTGTGCAGACCTTCCTAACCAGCTAGAACAATTGCCCACATAAATCCACCTTGTCATGTGGTAAACGCAGCTCCATGCTCTCATAATCAATCACCATGCCCAAAAAAGTCACTGATGTGATTGGGTTCTAGAGCTTAGGAAGGGACACTGGAATTCCTAGACCAGCCAGCACATCAAGGGCCAACTGGAGTGTAAACTCCGCCTCCCCAGAACCAGTAGACCCAAAGAACATAAAATCATCCAAGTAATGCATGATGTTTCGAATTCCCTGGTAATGCTGAATCCTACCAGAGCATTTGCTAACGCAGTAAAGATCTCCGGGGGCATAGCGTAGCCGAAAGGGGAGGCAATGATTAATGAAAACTTGACCTTCCCAACACACCCCCAAAGGTTGTACATCACTTTAGTGGACTAGGAAAATATGCAAAGCGCTCGGAAGATCCAATTTCATCATCTGAATAGACCTGACCAAAGCCAGCACATAATCCACAGCATCAATAGAGGGATAGCTGAGAGAACAAGGGTCTGGTGAAATACTATCATTCACGCTCAGATTCTGAAGTGAAGACAAATCAACTATCATCCTCAAAGGTAGACAATCATGACCCTTGGGAACCAATCCCACTGGACTAGTAGGTAAAGAAGATGAGCATGGCCATGGACCAGACATCCATCCAGTAGCCAATTCCAAGGCAAGGTAAACACTAACTACTGAGAGCATTGACCGACAGGAAGGATGGGTATGAGAGGAAGAGCAGATCACAACATCCTCGGACACCCCAACCAAGAAACTGGCTCTGACCCCTGACACAACATATTTAGTCAGCTGCTGGTCAGGGTAGGAAGACAAAAAAGATGACAACAATGAGACATTAATAGGAGACACCACTGATGATAAGCACCCCATCAGAACCTGTGAGTGAAGGCATGCCTAAGAGGATAAGCCATCAAGATCTTCTGATAATTGTAACTACCCCCGACCAAGCTTATGAGCGCCAAGGTATGTGTCCTAAGACATGGGCCTAACAAAGGAGACAAGGATGACCACCATAACCATAATACATGCAAGCGATTCCTCCCAACAGTAAAATAGCCACACACCCCACAACAACACACAATCACAATGCACATCAAACAATCATAATAACAATATAAGTGCAGATAAATGAAACAAAGACCTAACATATCAAGCAAAAAGGTCAAAGTCAATGAGATGTAGGTGGGGCTGATGGGGGAGGTGGTACTCGGCCCCTCCTGGCTGTATGGAACCTGAAATCACCAGGGGTCTCCTTACAATCTCTCACTGGATGTAAGGAACTGCCACATGTTGCACAGGCATAAAGGCGAACACACCGCCCTGGCAGAAAGGCACACCTAGCTTCATTCCAGTTGAGCCAAATGTGAGCGGACCTCAAAATCCTGGTTGTGACTCCCTGCTGAGCTGAAGGATGAAGAGCCATTAAAGCACACTCAGCAGATGAATGGTCACAGCCTTGACACACTCGGCAAAAATACTACTCCCTGCATGTTGTCTCCGAATGGTAGAAACCAATAGGCTAGGCTGCAAGGTATCCCAGAACAAAGAGTGATCCAGGGCCGCCTGCTGCCGAAAAAGCTGGTTGTAAACCAACCAGCCCTGACCCCCAAAATGCAGTGAGTTCCTAACGAGGGACCTAGCATACACAATGCAATCCTGAAAAAACTGGTCTGGACCAAGAGCCAGATAGGTCAAAAAACAATAAATCAACAAGGGAAGACAAATCAAAATGCTGTGTAAGTGCAATTTTATCACCTAGCAGCTCCCTCATCTCAACAAACAGGTCAATTTAGATCTTCTGGACTAGCCTTTCCGGGATAGGCTCAGCTGACAGAGACAAGGAGAGACAATGGGCAGCGGGAGACCCTGGCAAACAAAATGCCTGAGAGGGTAGCACAACAAAAGTAAGCTGGGAAGACATACCAAGGTGGGCAGAGTCAGATGACTGGGGCATCCTCAACCCTGAAACAGGAACCATCAACTGAAGAGGAATTGTTGTTGTTCGCTGCAGCCAAGACACTAAAAGAAGAGGTACTTCTGCCAAGGAAGCTGCTGAAGGCAGAATACTCAACTGAGTGTAGAGTCCTGCAAGGAAACAAGAAGCTGTGGACATGCTAAAAATCATAAGAAAAGAAAAATCCAGGCAGCAGTGCACGGAATACATAAAGCTAACCTACCACCAAGCCAACATGCAACACCCCCCTGCAACATCACAGAAGCAACCACCCAAACCCTTGCCCACATCAATAGCAACAACCTCCCAAAAGAAACTAAACTCAAAATAAGAGGTGTTAACCAGTTCTTTTCAGAATACTCAAATCACTCAGCCTCGCCATGTCTTGGGACTCTCCAGCCATTCTTTATTACCTTGGGTGTGGTTTATAATCATGACCACCAACCAGCAGTGATTTTGTAACGAAGAACTCGAAGGTAGCCATCCACTTATACAAGACAATATCACAGAGAACTGGAGTCTGAATGGCTCTACTCAAACTGCTCAAGAGTAGCTAATTAGCTGCGAAACACTAATTATATAAACACGTGGTCAATTGTCATAGCAAAAATCAATTTGATTCCATAATATTCAATTGAACTTCTTTATTAATTTTCATCTCCGCGAATATTAACAGCCGCAAATGTAACCCGACCTACGGTACCTTAGAAATTAGGCAAATTGGAGGATTTGTTCCTTCAGCTTCCAATTTCTTACATTTTTCTTCTATTCAAACCTTAAATACACAACTCTTAAGCGTATCAATAGTTTCATCAGTCAGACAGCCATGCCTAACAGAATCAAGCATCTTAAAGAAAGTTTTGTCTCCTTTTTGTTGCTCATGGATTGTTAGTTCATCATATTGTACTGTTTCTTTCCATATGTTAACGGCATTTGCTGCGTCCAGTCATGGGCGTATCTATGTCAGTGGCCACACCAGGGCACACTATAAATTAATATTATTTAACATTAATAATCATTAATATTAGTTAATTAACATTTAGTTACAAATGACTAAGCTGGGCCAAATTAGGAGTCCATTTAAGAAGTCTTATTCTACTATTATTGTGTTTCTGGGCAAACTTGACAACCAAGTCATCTAAATTATCTAATCTCTTCCATAAATCTGTTGCCAGCCTAGACTCAGTATTAAGAATACCAAGATCATGCAATGCTTCCTGTGTCATTGTTGAGCAGAGGTAATTTTTTAGGTATTTCAGCAAAGAAAAGCTTCTCTCAACAATAGCAGTTGAAGTTCCTATGGTCATAGCAATTATAAGGCTGTTTGTCAGCACTGGAAAGGCATATTTTATTGGCTTGATTCTGTCTTCTAGTACATTGTAGATCTCATCTTCCTGTCGTTGAAGGAGATTCCACGAAGGTAACGCTTAAAGGTATCTATTTCATTAACTATGCTGCCACTAGGTATAACACTTAGATAGTGAGACAGAAGAGGGTTCAGTAGATTAGAATTTAGGAAGTTTATTTGAAGTTGGATGAAGACAGTCAATGGCCTTCAATAAGCTGATGCTTTCAGTACTAAAACGTTCCTTCATTTCTTGAAAAATGACATCTACATATACATTTCTCTTGTAGTCATGGCTACATTGATTATTGACAGTATGTCCTACTGTATCAGTTACTATGCTGTCACTAAGTCCGGAAGGTAACTGGGTTTGCCTTGGTGTTCTTCTGTGAACTGGCTGTGACATTGATAAGCCATGCTTCTGACTGAATGCTGGAGCTTCTTCCCAAAGAAACTCCCATTTGTCATCTGACCTCATATCTTCAAAAGTATCAATAGTTGCAACTACAAGATTGGCAGCTTGTCCAATGTGAAGTGATTCTGATTGGAAAGCATCAGATAATTGAGTTGTGATGCCAAACACTTTCTTATAGATCAGAAGACTCACGACAAACGAGAAGGACTTGAGACCACTAAATATTTCACTTGCTTCCACAGCTCTTTTTCTGTCATTAATTTATCATTTCCATCTATAATGGTCTCATAAAGTTTCAAAAACAGCTGAAAAAGTGCACATGATTGAATCAAAATGGCACGACTATCTCGTCTCACATAATTTCTTCAGAGGTCTTATCTCTCTGCCACCACAAGCCTACTGAACAGAGAGGAAAATTTCATGAGATTTGAATGAAGACAGGAAAACGTATGCAGATTGGAGAATGGCAAAAAAATCAGATGCAGCATGAACTCTCTTTGCAACATCAACCAATACTAAATTGAGTCGATGGGCAAAACAGTGAACATATACGGCCTGTGGGTATTTCTGTCTCATAAGCATCTGAACTCCAGAGTTACACAGCCACTCATGACAAAAACTCCATGATAGCACTGTGATACTAGATATAGAGGATTAAGCTCTAGCTCAGACATCTTGGCTATTATGTATTCTGTCAGTGATCAGGTTGATAAACTTGACGCCAAGTTGAACCCACAGAATCTCTCAATAGTTCTCCCATCATAGATAAATCTATATGGAATTGAAAGCTGTTCCCTTTTGCTAATGTCCTTCGTCTCATCTACAAGAAGAGTAAAATACCTTGCTTCAAAAAGCTCCTTAATCATACCGCAAATTTCATCAACAAAATAATGAATGATTTCATTTTAAATAGCAGGAGATAGCCAAGTAGCACTAGTTTTGTGCTCTTGTGAGACGCTGAGAGACAATTGGACTGTGCCGTGAGAGAAAAAAAATGGTAGCTCTAAGATTACCAGGATATTGGGAGTTTTCACACACATCATGACCATGGAAGGCAAGACCTTTATGAGTACAAAACAGCACTCCTTCTATTATTAAAAAACACATACTTTCTGTTGTTGTCTATTACTTGTGCACCAATCCTGTCTAACTGTACTCCAACTGATTGATCCAAAGCCATTCGCTTTTCATATTCTTGCCATGATGACATAGCTTCAATATAAGATTTGGACTTAGAATGTGTAACAAACATGCCTTGTTATCTCATTGCATGCTTCCAGTCTCAGTTACCTGTAGAAAAAAAGACACTTTTAGACGTAACAAGAAAGAATCTGCATGGAAAACAGAAAGCAGCGTCATTACTCCACTAAAGTACTCTAGCCATGAAAACTGAGGTATCAATTTGGTTTAAAAGAACGGCTGGTACTACCAAATGAGGTGAGAGGAAATGTGATATTAACAGGCTGCCTTGGCTTGTCAGATTTCCCACTGGCAATGTTGGTTGTTGTGGAAGTAGAGTTAGAAACACTAATGCTACTTTCAGTAGCTGCATGTGGTTCAACAACACTGGTACCATCAGGTGCATGTGCTTCAATGACTAGAATTTGTTATAGTAAATATTAAAATTAAAGTAATCAAAACTAATTACATACTTGAACTTGAAGTAGGATCAGCATCACTACATGAAAGTCAAGGAGATTTTGATTTTGACTAAAAGTCATTCAGAATATGCTTAATATTCATTAATACAAGACTAGTATTGTGAAGACAGTAGTAGTAGTAACACAGAAAGATCAAAGGGCTTACAATAACATTTTGTAGCTATAGGACAGCCTATTGAGCCTATAATAGGTGGTGCTGAAACTTAAGTAGGTGGGCTACAATAATTGACTATTATTATTATTTTAACAACTTTTGTAGTTAAAAAATTCTGGCTGTTGAGTTTACCAGGGCATTGCCCCTGCTTGCCCTGGTTTAAATACGCCTATGCTCCAAGTCTAGTTTTTACTAGTTTCTAATTTTTTTAAATACTGGCCTGCCATTAACTGGTGGCAATTCTAAGAAGTCACCTACAAATAAAATATTTTTTGATCCAAACCATTCATCAGTTCCAGATGTATCTTTTAAGTGCATGTGTAAGTATGCTAGATTTAGACTAGATACCATAAACACCTTGTCTACTATTATAATTTTTAATTATATAAATGTCACTTTTATCCTTTTGTGAGTTACTTCATTCAAAGCCCAATATCCAGCTGTCTTTCCCTCATGCTCTATTTGTAGCTGAAACAATCTATATATTGTTAGTCCACCTACATGATTTGCAGCTATATTATATAGGCAGTAGCCTATATGTAGGGTTGAGGTTGATTTTTCAACATGGCGGCCAAATTTATAATATTCAAATGCACAGGAGGTTGGTCATGTGTCATGTGATGATCTCACTTCCTCTACCTACTCTCCCGTCATAAAAATTAAGGATTTTCTCTTTTCACTTCAGCAGGAGTTCTCTTACTAACAATAGCTGCAATTGACTCAAAATCTTCAGTTTATCTAGTTAACAAACTAATAAACAGGATGTCTTCTGCACAGTCAGCTACAGGTAGCAAAAGCTTGTCCTCCAACTCAGATAGCTACCCAACACTTTTTCAGCAAAGGCAAAGATATAGCATCTTTGAAATAAATGCAGATCTTATTCTTGCTCAAATTGTTTGTTAAGTGTATGTAGATTTCTAGATATCTATTATATAGGCGGTAGCCTATATGTAGGGTTGAGGTTGATTTTTCAAGATGGCGACCAAATTTATAATTTTCAAATGATTATAACTCTTTTATCTTAGCTTGTACAGCCTTATAAATGGTTTAGATGAGTTCTCATTTAGTAAGCGATTCTCCTGGCACATTCAAAGTGGGCCGCAATGTCGCATGATCAATTCTGGAGAATAGGCCCAAATTCAAATTTCTGCAAAATTCTTCAGACTTTTTCTTCTTCTTTCATCTTCTATTAACACAGAAATCTTAAAACTAGAAAGCCTCTTGCAATAGCATTTGCATCATTCCTTAGAGCTTGTGTCAAGTACAAGACA